GCATGTGCGGTACGCTTACAGTCACCGATCCACAAGAAGTACTCAAGCTAAGATTCGATTCAGAAACATACCTGACTGGTTCATCTCGACAACCAAAAGGAAGATTGTAGCATTCCAATATTTCAGACGAATCGTCAATTTCTTTCGATGCAGTTGAAGGAAACTAAATTAGAGGAAGCAACAGTTTACTTCAAAAAACATTAGTTTGTTAGGAAAATACTGAGGCAAACAACTTTGATGAGGAACCAGCAAAATGCCCCCACAAACCGATCCGCGCACATCATTCTCGTGGAACTGCCCCAGTATTTTCAGGACAGCTGAGGTAAGCATTTGCATGAGACCTAGAACTACCTTTATATTGTAGTCGAACTGCACAGACACGCGGATGTCGTCGGTTTCGAGCAGTGAGAGGGGGCACTTCTAAACAATGGAATGTAACGATATACGCAAACATGAGATACGATATTACTTACAACATGTTCTTTGAAAAGATCCAGTAAGCCACTCAGGTGCATATGACGCATCTGGCCCTTCCTCAAGTGCGATCCCTGTAAAAAAGCACCGTCGAATTGAAAGCATTTTATGGTGCAGTAGTCGGGAATATGCCATTTTCAGGAATTTTACACGTCTATGCCAGCGTTCACTGCGACTAAGGAGCCAGGATTACGCGTAGAATGGAAAGCACCACAAATTTTGGGCCAAATATTATATAAGAGAAGTTTGAACAAGCCTTTCGACCCACTCCAGGGCCAGACGGCAACCAGTAAGGGGAAAGGTAATAATGCCATTCAAAGATCCGTGAACTGACCGTTATTTTTCTGAGAAACACCTTGAAAACTTCTGCTCCAATAGAACCTCCCCCCCCCAGTTCACAGTCGTTCCAAGACATTCTGTGTGAACAGAGGGGTTTATAGACATTCTGCGCTAGTACCACGCAGTCGCCCTATCCTGCTGTCGAGGATAGGGCGACTGCGCCGTACTAGGGCACTAGAAAGGGGACAAAAAAAGGAGAGACGTGAACAACAATGGTGCTAGCTCGTATTACATAGTTCAGTTCTTGGTTAGTTTATACTTATTGTAAAACAAATGAACTTTTTAGAGCCAACATCAGTGAAAATGCTCTTTATCAGCAGAATACTCGGCTTGAGGCACTAAACAGGACCAGAAATGAGGACGTTAGGATACTTTGCAGAAGGTTGTTGTCTGAATGAAGGCTCGACGGCAGCGACTTCAATGGTTATCCTTCCGTTGGGGGAAGTTTCAGCGAAATATGATCCCGCCCCAAAAAATTCTTCTCCGGTTCGATCTCCTTTCCCCATGCTCCGTCCTAGCTACCGTCTTCCTCACTATTTTCAGCATACTACCCCTTTTTGGATTTTTCCCAAATTTTTTCCCCCAAAGCTACTGTCAAGCGGGAGAGGGGGGGGGGAGGTGGGGGAGACACATAGGTCACTCGAAACAGGGAAAAGCGAGGAAAGTCCACAAGTAAAAAGATTTTCTTCTAAAGCGAATGCGACCTAAATGCTTCCGGAGACCAAACGCGACACCATCACTGTGAATCTCTAGATAAGGCACGCCCTGAAAGAGGTACGATTATGCCCCAAGATGAATAAGGTCAGAATTAGAGGGATAATGAACTCCAAGGCAAGGGAAAGGAAGCGCAAGGAGCCTCAAAGAAGAGCTGGAAGTATGTCATTCAAGAATGACCACTGAAGTCACACCCATGGCAGAAGATGCTTCGAACAGGAGAAGGTGACAGACTACGGGATCAGCAAACCCAGCAATGTACAAATTTAACACTAGTCAAAGAATCTTCCAAATAAACTCACGCCATAATGAGCAACAACCGATTTATTGCACGCTGTCCCGAAAAATAGTTGCCGGTCAATATGTCCAAACTGAATGAACATCGGAACTTCGCTGAAATGTTAGCCACGATAAATGGACCAGTAAAAAATATTATGCAGTTCGGAGCCGCGGTCACTGTTTTACAAGAGTTTACAGGTACTCTCTGTAAAAACTGAAAAGTAGTTTCTATAAACTCTACTGGTATCGTGGCCCCAAAAGATTTCACAAATCTTCAAGTGATGTTTCAACACGACATTGGGAAGAAGCGAAATTCCTCTTTCCCCACCCTCTAGCGAAACACTGAGCCAAAAACAGGTCCAAACAGATGTTCCAAACAAAACTACTAAACAGAAAATGTTGTTATATAAAATTACCAGTCGACGCTGTGCTGGGCAACTCGAAATGCACTGACGACCAGATTCTTTTGATCCTCGGTCATGATAGCATCATCTACCTGATCTGCCGGCGAGAACAGTATGTACTCGGACACACCATACTAAAAATAGACAACACAACTACTGCTGCGCATGCTGAGATACCTTGGAAACGCATTCCGCAATTGTAAAGTCATGGAAACCAGGATTCAGATGGGAACCAAGTGTTCATAAATTCACGAACAAGGAAAGAAGCAAAGCTACTACATACCCCCCCCCCGCTCGACAACTTTTTCGCCGAGTATAAACCACAACCACAGTCAGCCATGTCAGCCATCGTACGAGCATGGGGGGGTCGTACCAGCCCCTGAAAAAAAGGGGGGGGGGTCGTAAAAGCTCGACCAAAATCCCCATCGAATGCTGTGCCCTGGCTCATCCTAAACGAGAAAAGGAATCTATGGTCGTTCTTGCTGCGAATGCTGATGCGTGTCAGGGAGGCTGGGTTTTACGCAGCGCCAGCCCGTTCTCCAACCGACTGCTGGAGTCTGCAAGCGACAACAACTGATGGAGAGTGAACCGTACCCAGCCCACCCCACCACACACACACACACACACACCATCGCCAGCGTTTGTGGAGAGACGACTACAAGAGCCAAAAGTCGCGGAATACCTTTTTAAGAAACAGTGGTAACTATACCATTGTTGCTATGTTACTGTGGTAACAGAAGCCAACTTCAGCATCTGACATATCGAGTGCAAACGATGGGAGATGTCCTTCCTGTTCAGCATTGGGTTGCTCTTTAACGACAACGTCAGTCTAAAACTTAGGAGAGCTTCATTTCAAGCATAGAAAAGCCCAGAAAAGCACTCACCACATCAGGATAGCAATATGTTGCTTTGAGCTTGTTGGACTCGCCGAAACTCAAGGTTGCTGATTTAAACTGCCATGAACACGATTTCAAAAACCCCTAAAAAGAAGAAAATCTTCCCGAATAACGGAATTTTGAATGCATCTGAATAAAGCAACTTTCCTTCGGGTATTTCTTACGCTCTCTATCATGAACCAGTCCCCACTCTAGAATGAGTGCCTCAATGGCAACAACAAAATGCTCAAACTCTGTGATTACGGTGAAATCGTCGATTTCGAAAACATCCTCTTCTTCACCCTCTTTCTCCATTGTACCACCTCCTTGAGAGTCACGCCTGCTGTGCCTCTGAATGAACTTGTATAGCCAAGAAAAGGAAAGTCACTCTTACAATACCCTCAAAACCGTCATAAAGAACAAGGTGGCAGTAGCTACGCTTGCCTACCCCATTCATCGAAAATTTCTATTGAAATTTATAGTCGAGGGGAGATTTCGGTTACCTCTGTCAACCGGCTGAAGGAAGGAAAATAAGTGACAGATAGTCTGGGACCGAGTGGTTCAGCGCTGCTACCAGGCGCGAATATGCCTGATCGGTGCACTACGGGAGGAAAACTGCCCTGTGACGCCTGCGCCAGGCAATCTGGCTTGAATGGGGTGCGATATGTGTGAACCAGGGGTCAGAATTCTTCTCAGACAAGGTATTGGCCACGTACGCCGCATGGGCAAAATTCGGACCAAAGTGCGACCTGCGTTCCAGGTATGAACGCACTTTGAGAGCGCGTTCATACTTCGCTATACGATCGCGCGATAACGCTTGACCTACCCCATCGCGCAATTCAAGCATTCGGACCATGGAATATGATCTGAAGGGGTAACATACCCAAACAAGCGTTCAGCGATCTGCTCGAACTTGGAGAAACATAGAATATGCAAAAATGCTAAACACGTTGACAGGTAGAGTCAGAGAAGTTGTTGCAAAAACACCAGAACTCATGGGTCTTTACTTTGATGATAGCACCTTGCAGGAAACTAGGCGAGTGGAGATGCTCAGACTATCAAATATGTCAAAAAACGTTCTTCATGAGCACACTATTACTCGCATCAATTCGTAAACACATTGAACACAATGAACGCTACGGACACTGATTTTAATGCACGTTTCCCAGGTTTCACTTCGCCTGTCTCCAAAATAAGAATCTAATTTACGAATCCTACACTAGTTTCGTTGCTGCATAACCGCGTTCGCGTACTGCTTCTGTCCAAAATGTAGTGAATACGATTCACTGATTTGACACTTTTTCTAGCTTGAAATAAAGGTCCTTAACTCCCGGCCTCCAATGTTTCAAAGTGCCTCAATTACAGCGTAGAAAAGACAGCACATTATCAAGCATAGAGAAGAGTTAAAAAAGGTGAAACCAAGCAGTGCAGCTGAGCAACTTCGATCGTCACGTGCATGGTCCAAAAATCAAAACCACTCCGTGTAAGTCTAGGCGTCGAATACGCTGTTCGTCTGCAGTCGGAGGCGTATACCACTATCTGACGACTATGCCCTTCTTGGATATGCAGGCAGGGCACATCGTTGTTGGGGACCCTACCAGGGGCCGAGGGGCGGGAGCGGGGGTGGTATTTGGGCTGAGAAGAATTTATTTTGATAGATGGTCTTTCTGGCTTCAGGGATGTTGTAAACAGGGGGGCAGGGGTCGTAGGTGCTAACGTACATAGTTGGGGGAGGGCCACGACTTAGAGCGCTAATCTAGCAGCAAAATTAGAATAAAACAAACAAGATTCACCGAATACTTGCTGAGAAATCCCACAGAAGCTGAGAACAACAAATGTTTGATCTTTTGTAGTCAAGAATAACGGCAACACATCAAAAAAGGCAACAATCGTTGGTAGTTTAGGCAAAATCTTCCATCCTACAGCTGCTTTCTTCGCCAGTTCAGCGCTAACTGCTTAGCTTTCAAAAAAACAGCTAGCTACTGTTATATATTAGATGTCTTAAACATGTTATTCTATTTTTCGAAAGAAGCAGAAGAAGTCGAATGAGTCATCGAATCGCGCGAAGCCGCGTTGCCCCCCCCCCAATACGTTAGCACCGGGTCCGTGTTTACTATCTGGGATTTATAGGAGTGGTGGTTGACCTTTTCGTGATTTTCCTGTTTCATGCGTACTATATACACCCCCTCCCCCCGCTCGACAGCAAAATTTCAAAAGTAGGGCAGCTTTCGGGAAGTTTTGGAAAAAGTGGCGGAAAGTTGAGGAAAATCTAAGGATTGGTAGAAGGGGTGGTCGTATTAATGCGGAAGCCTGACTTCATGGACACCGACTAGTCTAAATGGGGTCGATATATCCCTTCTATTTGCTGTGGGTTGCACATCATTGGTGTGTTGGGGATTAGGCATTACTCTACCTCAACTGCATTCATACTCCGCGATCACATCGCATCGGATCGCGAAGTATAAACGCGTTCCCGCCAGGATCAGGCGAAAAATGATTAAATGTGCAACGTATGGCAATCGCGAGATATGGAAGAACTTAAGGAGAATCACACGAGAAGATTTGCCGACATTCACACCTGAGCCGATATACGGTCTTCTTGTTCGGTGTTGTGAGGCGGAGTGAGTTTGGCACGGCGCCAAACCCGTTTTCCACTAGTTGTTGAAGCAAGCAAGTAACAAGACTGCATCTCGTGGTTCGTATCGGTCGTTTTCGACCGATTCCCGACGCTCACTCGCTTCAACAGTTGATGGAAAACCGGTTCGGCGCTGGCCTAATCCATCTCGTCTAACACGCCCTTCATCCACAGCGAACAAAGATCTCAAGCAGGCTCACGCTTTGTAGATGAAACACTCAAGCAGCCGCTTTCCACGGGGATTGCTACTTCTGGAACACAAGATCTGCCGTTCTCTTTTGTTTTGTGCAAATCACTTACTCTTGAATGGCAGTAAAAGCTCCCACCATGAAAATACCGACGTGGAGATTACAAGATGTATTAGCAAATTTGATTCCAGCGTGTGTTAGATATCTCTGCACATAGAAGCTGACACGACAGCTTTTTGAAATCCAAGTTGTGTGCTTCAAAGACCCATTTCGCGATAGCCGAGTGGGTGGAGACTCATGACCACGATGTCTTGCTTATTGGTGCCCCCTCCTTCTAAGATCGCGAAGAGAAGAGGCACGACAGTGAGAAAAACCCAATGGTCACGACTGCCCGCCTATTCTCTTATCGCCGAATGAGTCTACAATTATTAAGGCAACGATAAGTGATCGAGATTTCAGAAGAAACTACAAACTTCTCAGCAGAATTATCACTTTCTGTCAATTTCCATGACCTTTCTATCCACAGTTTGATTTTTCTATGTCTTGGCAATCAAAAAAAATCATTTTTATTCTAACGAATAACAGTCAACATCAACAAGGACGATTATAGCAGTGAAAAACAATAACCTAAACCCACTAGGAAATGGAGGTAGCCTCATATAAGTTTATGACCTTCAAACATCCAACTAAATTTGCATTTAAAACACTCTACTATGATTTTACACTCTTCGGCTGACTTGTAAACCTCTACTTTTGAGCGGCTGTCGTGAACTGGTCGATGAATTTCTTCATTCATCTCGGCGCTTTCTTCATGGGAAACCATGCCGATGCTCATTTTTTGCCGCGCTTCTTCAATCTGAATGAAAAATCTCACTCATTATTTCAAGTTACATCAAAACATTTTACGACCAAAAAACTCTCAACCAGTCGCATAAATAGACTGTGGGAGGGAGGACTCAGCTTAAAGACAGTCCCCACGCTCTAGCAGTTCGTGAGTGTTCTTCCTCAAACAAGTAGTCTGGCCTCAGTCTCTTAGCTTTAAAAGTACTAAAGAAGGCGATGCACCTCTCATGAGTGGCAGTACTAGCGCCTCCCCAGTTGTGCCGGTCACCGAAACTGAAAGGCCATTTTCTGCCACGAGTTCAGTTTTTACCCCCACGTTTTCCGCTTTTTTCACTGCTAGATGGCTTTAGCATTGGATGACGCGAAGAAACGATTAGTTAGCAAGAGGCGGCAGGATGTCGTTTTACTGTACTAAAACGAGCTGGTCCGCGGAACTCATCCAGGGAGGCTGTCAGATTTTTAGTTAGCGTGTTCTCCATGATTTTTTTTTGCTTTTTCCTCTCCTGAAGAGTGAATCAGGGACAACGGTTTGTAACCGAACGCCACTATTCACAATGTATAATCGCGGTATTTGTCTCTAATGGGACTACTACTACTACTGATGAGCTCATGTTCTCACTGGACATTCTTCCTCAAGGTTTATACACGACTCACGATTTGAGGCTGCCCTCTCTGACCATAAATGCCTATCGCTTCTGAATGGGAATCAGAAAGGAAACTGAGTATTCAGAAATACGGAAATAAGGTAAAATCGTTTTCTACAGAAAGCTTTGGAACTCGCTGATAGTGGGATATTTTTGGCTCTGGTTATTTTGTCCTCGAAATTTGGACACGCAGGAGGACAAAAATGCCGTGGGTAACGCAACGTCGTTCGTTTAAATGCATAATATACAAACTATAAAGCAAAAACTTGTAAACGCACTCTTTCGGGTGACTCCGTTTCCTCCAAGCATTTACGCAAACCTAACAGCTTCTTATTTATCACATCGCGCACAAATCCATGAGCATGTTTCAAATGGCGTTCCAGTAGAAGAATAGCCCTGGTCGTGTAACCTATGCGGAAGTTGTTACCTACCTAAAAACAGCAAATTTCCTCAAACTGGTGAACATCTCAGGCCAATCAATGAAAAAACTTTAAAAACTAAAAAATTATTATTGTCTCAATGCTTACAGAACTAACTTAGAAACCTACCCTCAAAGAAACTCTCTGCCCAAAAGCCAACCAGTGTTCGGGTAAATCTACAGAGGCGCATAGGAGACAAACAGTGTCTACAAACATCTGTGAGGCCTCCGGTAGAGAAAGGTCGGCATATACATCCTTTCTCATGCTCAAATATTGAAGTTGGTCGCCATAGTCGAGGGCATATTGCTCGTACTCATGGAGATATGACAGTAATCGATCTATGGGAAACGAAGGGATCTGAAAATACAACGGCAATGGCCTCATCACGAGAATCTGAAGACTTTATATGCTTAAAGAGATGGACAGGAAGTGGAGTGGAGACTCACAACCACTGTGTCATCCTCACCGACTCGGTCGTACGTCCAACATGGTGAAGAACAATGGTGCGTCACTGAGAAAGACCCAATGGTTGTGAACGTCCGCCCTAACGATTATCATGGACTTTATCTTCAAAGCAGCGCTAACCATTGAAAGAATGAGGTAAACTCAAAATCCCTGAGATGCGGTAGTCGTAACTGCGTACTTAAACTGGACTTGGCAGCGACTGAGCTTTTCGTGAGACATTTTGGTTTTGGGATAGTTGTAAACATGTCTTTGTGCAACACAGAACAAGATGACAGTTGTCTCAAATTGAGATATCTCAACGGTAAGTCAGCCTAAGCCACGTTTGAATGCCACGCCTACTCCGTCTCTGGGATAAAGAGTGTAATCGCGCGCTTCATGAAAAATGATGGCGCTCTTTCATAATTTTTTGTAGGCTTTATTTTATCACTTAAAAACCCTTGAAACAAATGTATGAAAGCTCAAATCACTTGCTCATCGACTGTTCCCACTCGCAGAACGCGCTCATCATCTCATCAACAAACGGTAAATTTTGATGGCTTTTTGATAGCACAGGAATAACCACCAAAAAAGAGAAAATGTCGTTCATTTTGCCCCTTCCTCAGTCGACTCATCGCTGCTTCGTCAGCTCTGGGGCTCATCAGTAGGGGTTGAGAAAGAGGAAGAAGTTAAAGCAGAAAGTGCGTGCAACATCCTACACACTGGAAAAAATGCGTGCATAAGTCAAACACCAGCGTGATAGGAGTCAGCAAGTCAGATAAAAAGTCGTGCGACCCCGCAAACGGACTGTTCTCAAGTGAATTACGAACTTCTCGCGATGCTGGCCAAAGACAACCTAGAATGATCCCAATAGTTTCAGTAGTCCAGAATGTAGGAATTTTCTGCAATCCTCCTAAATCAATGGTTTATGCAAACATAAACCCATTTCGAGCTGGCCCAGAACTTCCTAAACTACCTGAATCTTCGAGCTCGTCCACCCATCTTTTCCACGAAAAGGAAACCCGTCCTCTCCGTTTTCGATTTTTCTTGTTTTCCCCTTCATCCCGCCGTCTTCAGCCATTACCATCATCGTGACCATGCTTTCAACAGTGACTGTTATAAAGCAAAACCCTCAACTCACCTTCAAAGCGCAACGAACAATGGAGTCGACAACAGCCACGCTATGGGTACGACTATGGTTGTATTCCGACAACAAGGTAGCATATTCCTTAATGGCCATTCCTTATTATTCCTTCCTATTCCTAAGAGGCTAAATATCTCCTCAAAACGAAGTGGAAAGTCTTCGTTTCCGGTACTCACATCGAATGCTTCTTTATATTTATGACGGCGATAAAAGTAAGCAGCTCTATAACTGATGAGGTCCCTGAAATCTAATATTTAAAACACAGAATCTATGGCCAAGCACATGTCTGCACACTGTTAAGAAATCGATGTTAATCTGTCTTAATCATTTGCAGGCTACATATGATTCCAGGAGAAGTACAGAGATCCTAGACAACTTGAGCAGGTCTCAATCTCAGATTAGCTTCCTTCAACGTCATTGGTTGGAGGGCTGCGAGAGGGAGTCTGGCCAGACTTGAACCGATGTATTCGGTAAAGGTAACAGGAACTCCCTCAACTTTTACAGCACTATTTAGCAGCAGATGTAATCTTAGTTTTCTATGAAAGCCGTTTATTTCATGTCTACACAAGCCTAATGAAAACGGAAACATACTCTCACCTGTCTTCATCCGCCTTACGTTCCTTCAAGGAAGTTTTTTCAAGAAACCAGCC